GTCATGAAAAAATGGCAAAGTTTATACGATTATCAAACATTAAAGCCAACCTTTCAGACAGCTGTCATAGACAGATACGCAAGGTGAATGCTTTTTTTTGTAGAGACTATCAATGAGAATGTACCATTAATTAGGATGACCTTAAATTCCATGAACATCGCCAGAAATTTTGTTAAAAAGGCAAACCTTCTTGCTACAAATTCCTTCTTTTAATTGATTTAAAAATCTAGGCAATGAACCCAAAGAAATTATAAGGATCTTACGCGTGGAATCAGGTCGAGGACATAGGATCCAACTTCTTGTATGGTGTCCACAAAAACATTTGATGGTGCTCCAAGTTGGGCAATTATTGGACGAAGAAGCCTCAAAATGCATTTTATAAACCCACAAATAATTAACATGATGTTAGAACATTCCCTCCGGAGATAAAGCTAAAAAAGACCCTTCCTCCTCTCCCTCCCTTCCCTTTATCCCTCTTCCTTTCTGTACGCGGGTGTTGAGACTCTTAGGCGAAGGGTGGGCCGTATAAGAAGCAATGAGATATAAGAGACCAAGAGATTGATGGTTCAGTGTTTATTGCGATTACTGCACCGAGAACAAGGGGTATGACCTTAGGTGGTTAAGCGTGTAGGAAAGTGAGTTAGAGACCTCCCAATTTGCATAAGGTAGGCAAAGCCAGCCCCCTCACAAGAAGAGACGGTAAAGCAAGGAATCATCGGTTCTACAAGTTACTGTCCTCCCAATTTCTTTTCGAGTAAAAGGTAAGCGTGGTTACAACATTAGAAGCTACCCAACTTTTCTCTCGTTAATTTGGCTTAGCTCGTATTTTGACACGTGGTTGCATCATGTTGGGTAAATCTAGTATAAACTTGCTATTAGGAACAGATGAGCATAAGTTCTTTTTTTTCTTCATTGTTAAATATTTTAAGAGTGTAAAATTCAGAGAATCTACCCAATACGTTGCCTTGAGGCCAGATGAATAGAGATTTGCTTTGTAAGTAGAACTTAATCGAGTCCGAAAAACAAATAAACGAACTGT